CATCGAGAACCACCACGCCACCGTACCAACTTGCTGGAGAGGAACCGCCTGCTCTTCATGCTCAAGCCGCTGACTCAAAATGTTGTTTGTTCTTCACATTTTATTGAATCAATAATCACCTATTATATATTCATATAACGCCTGTTTGTTACTGGAAAGTATCATCAGGAGCCTGTTATTACTTACAAAACAAACTAAGATATTGACGGTTTTTCAACAAATTCCTGAAGATATCGTTCAAAAAGTTAATGTGCACTTCTTCGTGCATCTTTGGCGTTTTATTGAAACTCTTCAATACTTTAAAGCAGTGATTGTGAATTTAACGCATCAATATTGGAAAAGTAATATTTAAAGAAATGAGGAAAAGAAAGATGAACTGGAGCACTAATGAATCTGAAGAGGGGAGATTAAGTTATTTTAACGCCGTTATATACCTGTATTTAGCTTTTCTATAACCTGACCTGTCTTTTAAACCCATAATATTCCAGATTTATTTAATGACTTTTTTTTCTGTTTACTCTACTTCTTTCTCATTGGTCTCCTTCACATCCTTTGTCTTTGTCTGTTTTCTGTTACTGCATTGTTTCTTTTCGTCTGTATTCCATCTTCTCTCTTTCTTCCTCCGTCTCTCTCTCTCTCCCTTCCCTTCTCCCCCTCCAGAGTGAAGAACAGTTCATAGAGATTGGTGAAACGGGACGGACAGTGAGGTGAGATGTCTGGGGGTCGCAGCCCAAAGTCTCAGGACATTACCACCCCGCCTCCCCCGGGCCTTCAGCCCGAGCACAAAGCCAGCGGCTCCTGCCAGGTTACACAGATACATACATACTATATTTCTTCTCCATGGGTTAACACACTGACAACGATTTACCTTTTTAGCAGCCGAGTTTCTGTATCTGGAAAAGTGTTTAGTCTGAAGCAGCTTGAACACTAATGGGTATCTGTGCACGGCATGAAAGAGTTATCTTTAGGTCATTTTTTTAATCACAGTCTCTATTTGTGAGCACTTTAGTTCATCGTGAGCACTTTACGTTCATCGTGAACACTTTGTTCATCGTGAACACTTTAGTTCATCGTGAACACTTTAGTTCATCGTGAACCCCCCCACTTGAGTCATCGTGAACACTTGAGTTCATCGTGAGCACTTAGTTCATCGTGAACACTTTAGTTCATCGTGAGCAACTTAAGTTCACTCGTGAACACTTTAGTTCATGTGAACCTTTAGTTCATCGTGAGCACTTTAGTTCATCGTCGAACACTTTAGTTCATTCTTGAGCACTTGCTAGTTCATCGTGAGCACTTTAGTTCATCGTGAGCACTTTAGTTCATCGTGACACTCTTGTTCATCGTGAAGCACTTTAGTTTCATCTTGAGCACCTTTAAGTTCATCGTGAGCACTCTCAGTTTCATCTTGAACACTTTAGTTCATCGTGAGCACTTTAGGTTCATCGTGGCACTTTAGTTCCATCGCGTGAGCACTTTAGTTCATCGTGCAGCACTTTAGTTCATCGTGAGCACTTAAGTTCATCTTGAACACTTTAGTTCATCGTGAACACTTTTAGTTCATCGTGAGCACTTTAGTTCATCGTGAACACTTTAGTTCATCGTGAACACTTAGTTCCATCTGACACTTAACGTTCATCTTTGAACACTTAGTTCATCGTGATGCACTTAGTTTCAATCGTGAAACACTCTAGTTCATCGAGTGAGCACTTTAGTTCATCGTGAACCACTTTAGTTCATCGTGAACACTTTAGTTCATCGTGAACCACTTAGCTTCATCGTGAGCACTTTAGTTCATCTGAACACTTTATTTCATCGTGAGCACTTTAGTTTAGTTTCATCGTGACACTTTAGTTCATCGTGGACACTTTAGTCATCGTGGAAGCACTTTAGTTCATCGTGAACCACTTTAGTTCTATCGTGACACTTTGTTCATCGTGAGCACTTTAGTTCATCGTGTGCACTTTAGGTTCATCGTGAGCACTTTAGTTCATCGGTGAGCACTTTAGTTCATCGTGAGCACTTTAGTTCATCTTAATGAACACTTTATGTTCATCGTGAGCACTTTAGTTTCATCTTGAACACTTTAGTTCTCCCCGTGAGCACTTTAGTTCATCGTGAGCACTTTCAGTTCATTCGTGAGCACATTTTACGTTCATCGCGTGACCACTTTAGTTCATCGTGAGCACTCTTAGTTCATCGTGAACACTTTAGTTCATCGTGAACAACTTTGTTCATCCGTGAGCACTTTAGTGTCCATCGTGTGCACTTTTAGTTCATCGTGAGCACTTATTCAATCGTGAAGCACTTTAGTTCATCGGAGCACTTTATTCCATCTTGACACTTTAGTTCATCGTGAGCACTTTAGTTCATCGTGAGCACTTTAGTTCATCGTGAGCACTTTAGTTCATTCTTGAACACTTTATTCATCCGTGACACTTTAGTTCATCGTGAGAACCTTAGTTCATCGTGAGCAATTTAGTTCATCTTGAACACTTTAGTCACGTGACACTTTAGTTTCCATCTTGAAACTTTAGTTCATCGTGAACACTTTAGTTCATCGTTGAACACTTAGTTCATACGTGGAGCACTTTAGTTTCATCCGTGAGCACTTTAGTTTCATCGTGGAACACTTTAAGTTCATCGGTGAACACTTTAGTTCATCGTGAACACCTTTATGTCATCAGTGAACACTTTAGTTCATCGTGAAGCACTTAGTTCATCGTGAAACACTTTACGTTCATCGTGAGCACTTTAGTGTCAATCTTGGCACTTTAGTTCATTCTTGAAAACTTTTAGTTCCATCGTGAACACTTTAGTTCATCGTGAAACACTTTAGTTCACATCGTGAGCACTTTTAGTTCATCCTTGGAACACTTTAGTTCATCTTAACACTTTAGTTCATCGTGAGCACTTTAGTTCATCTTGAACACTTAGTTCCATCGTGAGCACTTTAGTTCATCGTTGAACACTCTAGTTCATCGTGAGCACTTTAGTTCATCCTGAACACTTTAGTATCATCGTGAGCACTTTTATGTTCTTTTCGTAGCACTTTTAGTTCATCGTGAGCACTTTAGTTCCATCCCGTGAGCAACTTTAGTTCATCTGAACACTTTAGTTCATCGTGAAACACTTTAGTTCCATCGTGAGCACTTTAGTTCAATCGTGACTACTTTAGTTCCATCCTGACACCTTTAGTTAATCGTGAGCACTTAGTTCATCGTGAGCACTTTAGAGTTCATCGTGAACACTTTAGTTCATCCTGAGACTTTTAGTTCATCGTGAGTGCACTTTAGTTCATCGTGAACCACTTTAGTTCATCCTCTGAGCCACTTTAGGTTCATCGTGAACACTTTAGTTCATCGTGAGCACTTGTTAGTTCATCGTGAGCACTTTAGTTCATCGTGAGCACTTTAGTTCAATCGTGAGCACTTTAGTTCATCCTTGAACCCACTATTAGTTCATCGTGAGCACTTTAGTTCATCGTGAGCACTTTAGTTCATCGTGAGCACTTTAGTTCATCGTGAGCACTTTAGTTCATGCGTGAGCACTTTTAGTTCATCGTGAACACTTTAAGTTCATCATGTGAATGTGCCAGATGGTTTCCATGGCAGGTTGATAGCATTATAAGAAAACAAATAAAACACATAGGATAAGAGAAAAAACCAACACAGTGACACAGATCGAGTCCCCTAAAAAGCAAGTAGCATCAACAATACTTTGACTGTTATTATTTCCATGATTTTAGAAGTCAAGCAAAAATTAATAATAAAGTTGAAACCACAAATAAAATAAAAACGTAACCAGTGTTTAACCGTTTCACCGGTTAGGCCGTACACAAATTCATTCTTTGCTGTAAAATAGAGCTGCACCTTATTAAAATAGGAAACACATGACTGGTTTAGTTGCGGAGGGTCATTAGTGTAAAGCAGAGCCTTCTTGATAGTAAATCAAATCAGTAAAAACTTTAATTTATATAGAACTTTCTTACACAAACGGTTAGGGAGGTAAATGCTTCATAAAATAAAACAGTCCGTTGACAAAAGAACAAGAAACGTGACTTTGTGATTGAAAACACATTACATAGCAATAGAAGTAAGTACAGGACTCACATAAAACAAGAATAACATTTCATTAAAGTCAAATAATGCTTCTTTTTTTGTAACATTTTGTGGCTTTTGAGAAATGAAAAATAAAAGTAACATTTGAAACACGTCCTCTC